CAATGTATTTAGCTTGGTTACAGTCCGCTGCAGGACCATCCAGGGTGGTCCTGCAGTGCAGACACTCTGCATGCTGCTGTTGGCCATGGTGGCTGAGACAGGCAAACCCATGTTACTGGTGTTGCTAATGCCATTGCCTCTGCAAAATTGAAGAAGATGATGTGGTGCTCAGGACTGCATTAAAATTTTAAAACCTCTTTTCCTCCTCTTACGCTTTAAAGAGTTTCACTTCAAAACAAAACTCGGGAAGTTTTCGTCCTGTTTATTCTCATTGGGATTTGCACTGTAAAGTTAACTTGCTCTACTAATTGATTTTATAAGGCCTAAGTGAAACACTGCTTGTATTTTCCCTTGCTGTTGTTTACATGAGTACTGTGTACACACATGTGCCTGACGGTACCATAGAACTTCAGTTAGCCTAAGCAAACCATTGATTTGTCTAATAAATATTAACAGACTTAATTTAGACTCTACATAATAGGGGAACTGAGACTGTCTTTGAATTATATTGTAAAGAAAAGGATAAAATTAAACTGTTTCTTTATCCATACTGCTATATTTTGGCAAGTTATTCTCGTTCTTCATGTCGTCCAAGAATACAGGCAACTGAGTGCTTCCAAGAGAAAGGTTGGTGCTCTTCCATCTCTGCTACAGGGTGTGCTGGAGTGAAGTCATGTTTCATCTTTCAAAAATAGAGAAATACAATACTCATCGGCATCCTGAGGTCAGAACTCAAACTTATACCCCTCAAATCACAAAATGATGGTTCTACAATTAAAAAGGAAGATGTCAAAGAGGACCAGAAACCCCAATGAGCACAGCATACAAGGGCGCATTGCAAGCCAAGCATAAAACTTTGAACTAGCTTTTCCCTTGGTCACTGAGGTTTCTTCTGAGGTTTGCATTAACATAGCTTGCAACAAGTCAGCCACTGTGATTTTGCTACTTTTAAGATTTCAGTTATCTTGGAGGTTGTTATAGTTCAGCTGCTTAAACAGATCAAAACATGTCACCAGACCAGTTCCTCTGATCCACTTTGTCTCTTTCAAATCACACTAACCTGAAGTCCAGAATGTTCACTTTCATTCGTACCAGTTGTCTAAATTCTGACACAGGAATGTGGCTTCAAAAAGTCTAAATCCTAGCTGACACTGTTCTCAAAATCAACCATAGGGAATTGTCATGACAGCAACCTGGACCTTCTAACTCCAGAAGATGAATGTACTAAGAACAAAGCAAAACAGCTTTTAACAGATGGCTGGGCTTTGTGAGCTGCACGGAGCTACAGACAAAACTGCAAAAAAGGACTTCCAGCTTCAGGAAAGGCATGCATTGATCTAACACATTTAGTGTCTTGTCAGCACGAGGCAAATGTAATGAAGAACTGGCAGGTGATGTAGTAAGTGCTTTTAATGGCGAGAAGCTTCCTACCAGAACTATAGACCAGATCTTAGCATTACAAAAAGAAAACAGTATTTTACAGACCAGAAACACTGAAGTTAAGCAGCAGTTTATTGCAGCTGACCAGGAACATAAATAAACTGTTCCAACAACCAGGAGCAGGGCACAGTATTAGTGGATAGTTTCTTCCTGCTTGTAAACACTAGAACAGTATTTTCTCTCCAAACAATTTAAGCATCAGAAAGTATAAACAGACTTTTGCAGCAGTTCATGAACAGTTGCCTCTATCTTTGTTCTTCTAATAGCTGTTGTCACATACAGTTAAGGGACTTTTCCATTACCTTTCACACACACAGGGTCTCCTAACTGAAGCCCTGTTACTGAATAAATAAGTGTACTTACTGGTTTTTTGGTCAGAGAATGCAGCCGTGCTTTAAATTTGATTTGCAGTTCTTTCAATAAAAAGATGAGCATATAAAACACATTCTGGTAAAATGAAAACCAAATAAGAGTGTGTGCATACATACATCTCTATAAATAGGAGTATACAAAAACCCAGTCTTGCCAGACTTACTGTGATAGCTCTTCTGATTGACAAGCTTTGTAATTAATGGCTGGTGCTGGTCACAACACTTAAAAAAGGCACACCTTAATGCTGTGGTTGATGTAAGACCAGGTGACGAAACAATCAGCTTTAATTAGAATCCCCTACACCCAAAATACACCCTGCCCCCTTCACTCTTCCAGGTAAGATAGCGCTGACCTTCAGAATCTCAAACTGCAAAGAACTAAATGGAAGATTTTCTGTGATTTGTTTCAGAAGCATTTTCAATTATTTCTGTTTCAGCATCCTTGCTCGAGGAACATGGGTGATTTGTTCTGTGCTCTTCAACTGGTGCATGGAGTCAGCTAATCCTTGCAGAGCCTTCACGCAGGCTGAGCACACCCAGCAAGCCTTGCCAGCAGGACCCTGCTCTCAGCTACATGCCCAGCAGGGATGAAGCACTGGTGCTTACAGTAATCTGAAGGACAGGATGAGCATGCACTCAGCCAGGGCAGCTCTCACAGTCTCTCCCAACAGTTGCTGGTTCAATGGCTCAGAGAGAATAGGGCACTGTTTTTCCCCCTTTCAGGATTTTTCAGTCCCTTTTTGAATCCATGCAGTTGCACACACAGTGTGCTGCAGCCAGGAGTTCTGCAGTCAGCTGAACAGATACCATGATTTGTTTCAAACCTGCTACTTACTACTCCCATGATTCCCTTGAGTTCTTGTATCAGAAAAAGAATGCTGAGGAATTTATTCCTGTGCTACCCTCTCCATGCCGCTCACTCTACAGGTATCTGCCTTGGCTCTTGTCAGGCTCAGGTTTTTCCTAGATGAAGAATTGTGGTTTATTTTTTCCCAATACAGAGCCTAAATGTAGCCCTGTGAGGTGAAAGACAACAGAGCTAGAAGAAAATCCAGATGCATGTTTCTACCACAGTGGCAACTTTAGGTATGGACAGACAAATGGCATTAGAAAACCCCAGCTGTCCTTAACTATAGGAACTGCCGAGTGGGTTTGGAGGAAAGAATTCAGCATATTTGCATGGAATTAAAAAGACCATAACGAAATTCAGAGGTTTGCAGCACTGTTGACCTGTGACACACAAACGTGAGGACTGAAGTGCAGTTAAAACTGTGGGCTACTGAAAAGGAATGTGGCTTTATTTCATTTCAGGAAAAAAAGCCTTTCTGTCTAAAAGTGGGGCTATTGTAGAACGTACCTGTGGACCCCCAAAGCATACTAAATCTCTAACCTTGTTCCAAACCAGAATCTCCCTTTTGGGCATCCCATTAATTATAAGGGGAAAAGGTCTTCTAAAAAAGATGTTTATCTGAATTTTCTGCATTCTCAACAGCTGATATGAAAAAATCTCAGTTAAAAATTAATCTTTTTATCCAATGAATATATTCTAGGAAGATTAACCGCATTCTATTTATTACTTTATACATTGTAACATTTAAATAGTTGCAGTTCAGCTTTAGGATTCACTACTCTGCCATCCTGAGCAGGGATACTGCTTTATGAAAGGTAATTTCTTTAATAGACTTTAACTTGGTGTATTCCAATCTGACTTCCCCCATCCTGGTCATCTCCTGGCATTCTTGTTTGGAGTCAGTTATCCATGTTCCTGTCACTGCATTCATTTGCCCACTGTGTTTAGTGCCACCATCTACCCTTGTGACAGGGAGCCTCCCAGAGCAGCTGGTGGATGTCACCCCACTGGAGCAGGATGCCGCAGTTAATGCAGCCCAACATGTCTCAGTGTTTGCAGTACAGCACACACAGACAGGTATCAGAACCCCTGAGTAATGCGAGAGCTGTACTGCACACACTGAGAGGAGTGTTGTGAATACATCTGCTCTGTCCTGTTCCAATTTCTCATTTTCACCATGTTATCTTGCATTAGCTTCAGTGTCATAAGCATTTATAGATTTTGCTTCTAAAACTAACTGAAAAAAAAAAGCACAATTTTTAGTTACAGTCACATTTACCTCCTGGAGATGCATTTTTATTCAGCTTCTCCACTGTAAGATGTAATTTCAAGACAGCAGCATAAAAGTAACGCCTGTTCATGCCTCTCCCCAGAGCCCTGCCAGTGTTAACCTCCCCTCATGCATGCAGCTCCTCCCCACGGTTAGGATGGAAGCACAGCAACTAACTTCATCCTTTGAACATCCTTGCTGGTATTTGATGCAGGTGAATACACTTTACCTAGTGTGAAATACATTTAGCTGAGAAACTTTACATATATATAGCAGCATTTTTGTATATGTTCTATAATGCTGCCTGTTAAGTTTAGCCTATTTCATCCTCCTATGTACTACCATCATCGTGCACGTTGCTGTCAGTGCTTCTTAGTGAGTTTCTCAAACTGCTTTTTCATAGACTGCAAGTTATCTTTCAGGGGGTGAGTGGTTCTGAATTTCCACTCATGAGTAAATTATGAATACATCATTATACAAGCTATATGCTCAGATAGCTTTTGGCTTAGATGTATTAAAATCCTGCATAGGTGAAATTATACTACAAGAGCAAGTGTTTGCCTACAGCCTCCAGAGGTTTTCAGTACATAGCTTAAATTGTTAAAACCTAGTGTAAGACAACGTTTCTCTAGGCTTTTGCATTTATGCAAGGCAAGTCAAGTGAAAATTACATTAAAACTTGACAACAGCCAGCCAGTTTGTTTTCTCCACCAATATTTACAACACCCTTTAAAAACAAAACAAAAACATTCTTCCAGCTTGTGGAAAATACTAAACATCCTCATTCCTTTCTCACTCACACAATTCAAACTGTGACTGTTTGCAGCATTTGCTTCCTTGCTTGTCAAAAGCATTAACAAGTTAGCAGAGCACCCAGTCATGTAAATATTCTACTAAAAAGAGAGACAGAAAACCAATTATTTTGCAGTAGTAGTATTACTACAGTAGGATTAACACAACAACGAAACAGACAAAAAACCAAAATGAGTCTGGGAAAAGACATAGGGTTACACCAATACATTTAAAGTAGTATGATTTAAAAAAAATCCAAACCAAAACAAAGTCAAACACATCTGTGTGAATTATGTACATGTCCATCTGATGCAGTTACTTACTTTATCACATACATGTGACCTGAGTGACCCCATCTTCCTGGTCAAATTGTCCATCATCCAGTTCTCTTAATACTCCATCACTACTACTGAATCCTGGAAAGCCTCCATAGTGGGAGGATCCCTCCTTGATCCAACATTGCTTAGAAGGAGATAGGTGAAACTCATCAGGTGGTTGTCCAGTTTCTACAGGATGAGAAGTAGCTGTGTCTAATCCAACACTTCTGCTAGAGACTTTGCCTCTTTCCTCCCCAATAACTTGTCTTAAGGATTTCTTCTGAAATACAAAAGGATGTTTAATGTTAGCTCACTTAAAGGGATTTTAACATAAGGCAGCATTTAACATGGTTTCTAACTATGAACTCTGGAGAAAAAACATCTTTAAGGTCCCTTCCAACCCAAACCATGATATGATTTTATGCATTTTAGCACCAGGAGCTACCCATGGCACTCAGATCAGTGATGATGCAGCATCTCCAGAGGCAATGTCAGTGCCTTGAGTGACAGCAGAGTAGCATGGTCAGCAAATGCTCTGCCTGTCTGCCTGGAGCCTTGCTGTCAGCACAAGAACTACTAAACCAGGAGATGCTTTGCCAGGGCACACAGCCCTGTCCAGAGGAGGAGAACATCCAGCTAAGGAGGAATCCAGCCTCAGCATGCAGGACACAAGCACTCTGGCAGGGGAGTCTGCACAAATACAAATCCTTTAAAAAGAAAGTCAGCCCACAAATGTTTTTGCCATGCTCTGGCAAGTTCTGTGCCTCCCCCTTCTATACATTGCTGTGGTTTTTTTTTCCTGAAACCCTTTTGAAACAGTAAAAACAATGGCCCTTGTGGCTAAAGGAAATGTATTTAGGGAAGCTAAATACAGGAGACATTGGGAAATTACACTAAGGGGAAATAATGTTGCCTCAGGAGAAAAAGAAAATAAGCTTTGCCTGGATGCCACAGTAAGAGGATGGAGAACTCTGCTGAAGGGAAAAAAGGGAAAAAGAGAAAAAATAACCTCAAGCACTGTGTGGTTCTATCTTGGATCTCCTCCTCTGAACTATTCTTGCAGAAACGCAAATGGTCTGTGATAAACAAAGAGCCCACTGAGACAGTATAGCCCTCCTAATCCAAGAGGCTTTTGAACCATTACATAAATCAGAAGCCAGGTCATAATGCACTATCCCATCAACACACAAGACAGAGAGATGAGCTGCAAGGACATAAAATATACCCTCCTCAGAAAAGAGACCCTGTGGGAATAAGAGACCAAGTAATAGGGGCTTTCCCCCAATCCTTACTGAAGCAAAATGGAAATGCTAACTTTGACCCAGCGATTAAAAAACCAACAATGCCCAACAATACAGAATCACAGGAATTAATGCTTTTACTGAGACATTTGCAAGGGTTTAATAAAGACATACAGCTGTGTTATCCATGTCCAGGGGACATCTGCAATGAGCATATTAAAGTTTGTAAAGCAAAAGTTAATGCTTTTGGATTTCAGTAGCTTGTTTTGCACCCGAAATCTACCTACTCAAAGCAAAGCTTGCACAACATCCTATATTAATTAGGTATTACTAATAAATCTGTGAATTTAAGTTGTTTGCCAGTTCGGACATTTTGGTAAAAAAGCAATGAAGTGAAAAGATGAAAACGTAGGGGAAAACCAACATAATGGGAAAAATAGAAGGAAAATGTTACTCTGCTGAATGTTTCAGCTTCAGCCTGCACCACCTATTTATCCCATGTTAAAATAACCTTGGCACACTGAAATTTCCTAGTGGAAAAGTAAAACATTCACTGTTACTTAAAGAGCACATTTAGATACTAAGTTTGTTTGGTCTTTAAACAGTAATCCTGATGTAAATGGCTACAAATCAGCTATTTCTTGTTTACTTCCAGTATGTTAATGCTTAAGTAAAAGGCTTCTCATTATAACAAACAGTAACTACAAAACCCACCATTTTATTTGTATAAACCAAAGCTGCTGATCAACATGCAACTGGGTGACAGAATTTAAACTGTGAGCATAATGCTTCCTATTTTTAATTTAAACTGCATCTCAAAGATTCATCAGTTGCTCAGACTGAATGCTTTCACAGAGCTGGTTTGTATTGCATCTCTTGGCAGAATCCAGTCTTAACCATTCTAACTTGTGTCATGCAGTTATGCTGCCTTTTAAGAGATACTTACAGTTAGAAATAATATGCCTCCCCAAGGAAAGAGTATTCATATCAGGAATCCATGCCCTTATTATACAGTGTATTAAAAAAGTAAGGAAGTATCAGGAAAAGGATGACTATTTCATAATGACTGACACAATTATATTTTTATATATTAAAATACTGATATAAAAATTATGCTTCAAACATACTTTCAGAAATGTATTAGGAAAGCATGTGAAGACAATGAAGTCAAGCATAAGAGCAGGGGTCAGAAGGTTTGAAAGCTGGAGATACTTAGTACACAGGGAAATCAAAGGAAAGAACAAACATATGAGGAGCTGGGAGAAAAGAGGGTATGAATGAAAGAGATTAAGACATTGGCAAGAGAGACTACACAGAACACTAAAGAGAAAAGAGCATGAAACTCAAGCTTTGTATATGAGGAAATAAATTATAGTGTCCAACAACTAGCTGGGAATTGAGATGGCAGGAGAGAGAAAAATAGGACTTTAATTGTGCATGCTGAATGCAGTTCTTCCAGGCATGGAAGTCATAATTATCAGGGGACACAGTGGGAAGGAAGTTAGGCTGGAGATAAGCAAAAGCCTGGAGAAGAACAAGAGAAGTTAGAGAGTATTTTAGAAACACTAAGCAGAGGGAAATAAAAATGATGGTAACAGACTGGGTAGAAGGTAGAAAGGATAGAGAAAGATCAAATATGAATGCAAGAAATTTGGAGATCCATGAAACTATTGGTACAGATGGAGGAAGAAGAGACTGGGTATCACTGCCTTGTAATAGTGTACAATACCACGAATGACAGTTTGTAAAGTTCTACTCTGGTGCTTGACATGAGTGAGAATGCCCGTAATTTTCATAGCTGCTTAAGCCATGTTGATTAGAGAAAGGTTGAAGGGCCACTGAAGAACAGAAATAACAAAAGTTACAATCCATCACATGATGTTGGAAGACTTGACAAAGTCCACCAGTAGCTCATCCTTCTTTGGCCACAGCAGAGTTTACTACAGCACTGTATAGGTGCAGTAACTGTTGTGACCTTGGCTCTGAGTAGAACACAGTAACTGCCGGTTACTTAATCCCCAAAGCACTTTTATACAACCACTCAAGAGCCTCAGTCTAGAGGGGCAAGGAGTTGCTGAGGTCCAGCTGCAGGAATCTTAAATCCTCTACTTCTGTCACACATTTTCATGCAACAACAGCTAACATCCCTTTATCCTGTTACCCTCCAGATTACAGTATCCTTTGCACAGCTTGACACTTGTGTTTGTCTACAAGTGTGAAAGTAGATGTTTTGGAGGTCAAAAGAAAATGTTTTCTTTTTCATGTGAAGCAGATTACAATCAGAACATTTAAGACTTCCTGAAGACTTCTAAAGAAATAATTACAGCATAGCCAAGCTCATCCACCTGAGACACAGTAACTTCTTTGCACAAATCAGGGTTTTTTGCATGCTCATGCTCTTCTCTGTGGCTTAATTTGAGAGCTATATGGCTGAGGGAAAAATAGTATGACTCAAGCTGCAAAAGGCCTCTGCAACCTTGAACTTGTTTCAAGGGAAACCTTTTTCTGCCATGTTTTTCCCCATGAATTTTGAAGCTTAGTTTGTTTCTACACCTAACCATTATGTGAATGAGACTGGTTTTTTATATTAATACCATAAAGATGTTACTCACCTCTGGTGTCTGGACAGCAGAATTCCACATAACAGGTCTCTCAAGAAAAATTACTTGCTTTGTGGCCAGATTTCCTTCACTAAAATTTGAAGAAAATAATTTCAGTATTTTAAAAGGCAGCAATAGTCACTGTAACAAGTTCATACCTTTTGGAGTCAACTGTAAGTTGTGAGTATGTAAGTCCATGGCAAGAAGGGGATAGATTACCAAGCATGAACTGCTTTATTAACTCCTGAACAGTTCTGTAATCACATACAAAAAGAGCATAGAAAGTACAGAGCTGGGTTAAGGTGTTATATATGGAAATACGTATAGAAGAAAAAATTCATATTGCTATGGTTAGAGTTATTTAACATTTGTTCTTGAAAGTTTAAGTACCAGAGCTCCTACTTTAAATCAAAGCCTGCACCTTTATGCCTGCAGTAAGCCTCAAAAACCCTTTCACCTAATCTTCACTGTCACACATACAGCAATATATTGCTACCTATTGACACCACAACGAATAGGCCCCAGCTCAACAAATCCACAGCTTCAACGAACCTCTCTATTTATGGTATGGAACCTGGGAAGTAACATTCTTTACTGCTAAGCAGAAAGTGCTTTCCAGTTGTAATGTGACATCTAACTGACATAGCAGGCTAAGCTTGTTATCTTACCACCTATGGATAAAAGGTCTCAGCTCTAGATGCGCAACAAGATAAATGACACTGGCTGTTTTGTACATGTGTAGGAAGGACAAGAGAATACAGCAGGAAGATAAATAAAGGGGGAAAAAAAAAAAAAAAAAAAGAAAGGAGCCTCAGTTCTTAGTCCTGGAACTCTGAGAAACGTTGATACTGTTGTGGTAAATATAATTTCAAGAAGCAAATTTTTTATTTTCCACCCCCAAAGAAATACTTTTACAAAAATAAAAGTGAAAGGACAAATCTGTTCCTCAAACCAAATCTGATGTTACTGACAGGATGTTTCAAAAGTGTTGCGCTCTCCTAGTACTCATGATAAATCCTTTTCAAGTTTTTATGTACTCATTTTCATCACCTTTCCACCAAAAGTTCAGGTCAGCACATTGATTGTTTATGTGCTACAAAGCTCGACTCTGTGTCACTGCAAGAGCGCAAGAATTTCAAGACCAGAGCTCTAGGATGGGAGGGTTTAAAGAATCCCTGTGCTCTTCTAAATACGAGATCCTACATTTTGACAAACTCTTCTCCCCCCATCTTCTACTTCTGCAGTATTCAATGAGATCTTCAGGCATACAAAGGAAAGACTTAAATACTTTGGCAGAAGAGCAACTACAGATTTGAGAGCATGTTAAAGAAAAGCAGCAAAATATAAACACAAAAAAAGACATGTAGCAAGGTCACTTGAAGTATCTATGATTCCATCTAGTCTATCAATCCTAAACCAGTATTATTCTGCATAACATTATGGAAAGAACTACTAGAATAATGTAAGCTTGTACTTCAGTATGGGTATGTCACAATGTTAAGAACCACACACAGAAAACTGAGATAACTGGTTCAGATCTCGTGCCAGGGCTAGGACTGATAGAATTAATTTATATTTATGATTAGGGACTGGCTCCAAGAAAAATCAGGGATTAAAACTGTTCCTATGAGATCATGAAGCACCTGTTAACAGCCTGCCCCAGCAGAGCTTCTGGTAGTAAACCTGACAGTACACAAACCAGCACTAATCCCAGCATACTCAGCTACATGTGATCAGTACTCAGCGGTGATGGTCTTGTGACTGTGTTTAGTCTCTCAGCTGGACTAAAAGGAAGATAGTGAACTCAGGTCATGGCGTATGTTTGCACATTTTCTTTGGATGAGAATAGAGAACTACTTTAAACTCCAGCTTCTGGGGAAAACAAGGAGGCCGAAGAACAAACTCATTAGTTTCCTGCTCTGAGAGCCCCTACCCACCTATTTGCATTCATTAAAAGAAAATGTGTTACAATTTTATGTCATGATAAGTAGATCAGCAATCCTGCAACCTCATTCCAGTTGGCTAGGCATCTCTCCCTGCCTCAGTTATGTCTGTTTTGATAATATCAATTGGGAAACCTCTCTTCTAAATGAGAAGGCTGAGCACAGTCCCTGGCATAGGGAAGAGCCTATGGCTTATTTTGTTACAGTGTCTGCATTCCTTCAGAGAAAAGAAAAAATCCCCCAACTTTAAGCTACAGCTTGTACAAATTCTACTAGAACAGAGGAAAGACACGATGGTGAGTAGACAATAAGTAAATTAACAGTTTTCTAAGTCTGACCTTATTAAAATGCCACACACGACAATGCAGCTATGAGCTTAATTCACAAAGAACTCAATGACAGTGGGATTTCCACAGAATTTAAATGAGAAGTGCTTAGAGCAAGCCACTCCAAAGCTTCCCTCGCATTTCCACATTCCCTCTTTGCCTCGTCAGTCAGGGCATTTTGAGAACTTGCATTCAATAGTTTGTCATGATAAATTAATAACCACAGAGGCAGTGTTTTGCACTGTGTTTGCTTGCCTGCTTTCCGGCGCTCACAGACAGTCTGCATTGCCCCTTTTCAGGGACTACAGTAATCAGTGAAGGGAAATAAAGGTCACTGCAGAGTAAGGCTGCTGAAACCTTTTCCTGTCTCTTCTTTTAAGAGGGATGAAGAGCAACAGAAACTCTTTTGTTAAAACACCAGCAATTTGCTTGTCTGCTTATGCTGCACTGGCAATATATTTGTCCTTTTACATGTATTTATTAAATAAGTCCTCCAAAACAATCACCAAGCTGGAAGCCAAGTTTTCCTGCCAATGACCCTGATTTTTATAGATTTTTTTTTTTAAATGCACAAACATTTCATATACAAAGCACTTAATTCTAAGGTTAAACAATGTTTTCTGAAAAATGAACAAAAGGAGCAGGATGATGAATTCTTTTAACCCATTCGGGTGTTTTGAATTTCCCGAAATAATGAAGTTTTGCACTCCTTTGGAATTGCACAGCATCTAGACTTCAGTTACAAGACAGACACCAGCTTGGGACCCCGTCTCCTCGCTTAAGGGATCTGTTCAGTGAAAAATTTAAAAACAGCTTACAAGTAATTCTGATTTTAGACCACAAACATGTATGAAATTCTACAAACTCATGATAGTACCATATTAGTAACTGCAGTAGTACTAAGTTACCAGCAAAGTACCTTCTAACATATTGTTCCTCACTCACTAGATTTAACTCCTAAAAGGACAATTAATTTTATCCTTGATACATATAGTTATGAACTTGGCATAATTACTGTCAAATTCTTGTCTGGAGACATTTAACTAGTAAGTAAGAGCTGTATACAATGCAGAAGTCTCTTTAGGTCACGAATATTATTGTGGATCTGTCTTGCACTTTTTATGCTTTTTTTAGTCAAAAATTATTTATTGACTGATGACACAGTTTAAATACCCAAGATATGGATGGATACAACAAATGTTGCATCATATGTACTTTTTTAAAAATCATGCTGTTTTCTCATATCCCTGGAAAGAGGAACACTGTCAGAAGATGGGAACTTCTGTAGGTTTTATAGTATGCTGACCCCCCCAAAAAAAACCCCAAACCCCACAGTGCTTATTTTTCAAACCGCATTGCACAAAACAGCAACTCTGTATGTTTCAGGAATATGACATTTACCATTGCTCTATTTGTAACAGCAAAGATTACATTTCTCAAGAAAAAGTTTGCTGCATCCAAAGTGCCTTAGCCATTGAGGTAGGAGTTAAAGGACTAAGTAGGCCTATAGACTGCTGTCCCTGCCTGAAACATAGCACTGATCCATGACACTGGGCTGTCACATGCACAACACTTCACACAACAGGATGTTTGATTTTATGGAGAGGAACATCTGTAAAAAAAGAACTTCAAAACCAAAACCACAGGAACAGACATGACAGCTGGTGGTGTTTTTTAAACTGCTTCAAATCCTAAGCATGTGAAAAAGAAGGAGCACGTCAGTGCAGGACAACCCTATCACACTCCAGAACCTGTGTTAGCCTGTTGGTCACACTCTTCATTTTCAGACAAGCAGTGGGTATAATGGCTACAAACAGATCATAGAAGATCTGAGATGTGGGAAAGTTTTGCAATGATTTAGAAGAGGAAAACAAAGAATAGAGCAAAATAATATGGCGACTAAAAATGGGGAGCAGGCTGCCCTTTTAGCAATTTTATTCTTAGATAGAATTTTCTTTAAATACTTTGTACAATTTTATTTTTAAATAAATATGAAAACATGAATTTGCCAGATCATCCCAAAATGATACTCATTTTGTTTTTCCAGTGCTTCTGAAGCAAATTAATATGCAGACTGGGTCTTGAGGTCAGAGTTCCAAGTCTGGGAACAGACCAGCTGTTCGGCAGCATAAAGTGTCCTTCTTTATTGAGACATTTAACTTGCATTCCTAGGATAATCCACCACCACAGTAATGGCATCTTTCATATCAGACACATAGTAACCATCCAGGAATTTCTTCTCCTCTACAAATACCAACATCAATGCTAAAAATAGTATTTATCAATCACTACGTAGCTTATCAGGACGGATACATTCTTTCTTGGACTCCAAAGAATTCTTAATCCCTAATTAGGATTTCTTGTTCATGGGTTTTTTAAGAAAACTGAATAGCTGTATATGAGTTATACCACAGACACACAAAACATGGTTTAGTATATTTCTCCCAAAAGTATCTCACAAGCTGCAGCAGGACAACAGAAAGTGTTAGACAATTCATGTAGACGCCTACCCAGCCATTTAGGCCAGAAAACAAATGCCTTTTATTAGTCTGAATTATTCTAGTGTTGATACAAAATTAATCCAGGTTCAGATTTGACCAGGACACAACCCCTATTTTGCATGATCACAGCCATTAATGGGCTGGTTGTTTCACAATGCTAGTTCAGACATCTTGTGCAACTTAAGTATCTTGCTGGTATTATTACCTTCTTACCACTCCAAGGAAGAGTTCCAGCCTAATTAATCTGCTAGCACTTCCTACAGCACTTTCCCTCTATTTTTTTTCTTACAGCACTCAGCTGCTTTTAAGTGGCCCTGACTTTGCTCTGCAATCTATGAGGTATGAAACACCCTACAGTTTTGTAAGAATCATATAATTACTGAATGGTTGGAAGGGACCTTAGAGATGATCTAGAATTTTGCCTACTGCAAGCACAGACTGATACTCAGATTGATTGACCAGCAGCTGCTCAGGATAATCTTGACCCTGCTGTCCAAACCCTACAGGGATGGGCACAGTTACACTGTTTGCAGGATACAGCAGTTTTGAGGATGAAACCTCTCTCTCATTCTATGACCACAGCACACCATGACTACTAAAAAATCTTTCTCTCCCCTTGTCCACTCACATCCTTCCACAAGTAGATCCAGATCCCAAAGGCTCTCAAGCTCTCACGTTTGGCCAAAAATTTCAGCTGTTTATGAAAACCAGGCTCATTGTCTCACATACCCTTAAGTTACCATGTTCAAAGCACTTAGACTATGAAATTAGATACACTTAGACTATGAAATTTTGTTTGAAGAACTTAATCAAAGGATAACTATTTTTTTCATATTCTGAAAACTGCTTCTTTCTGGAGCAGAAGCTTTACAAGTTCAGAATTTAAGAAATTACAGAGAAAAACAAAACGAAGACCCTTAAAAAAATAATAGCAGAAGATGCCATCTTGTTTTACCACAACTTCTTCTGTCTTTGCATTTAATCAGTTGGTTAAACTATTACAAAAATACAGCCTCCAAAACACTGCATCACCTACTGGCTGACCAGAAAAACCTCCTTCTCACATGGGTGAGTTGATTTAATTATGCCAAATCACTTGAACAAAACACCACTTTCTTGGAGCAGTTTTCTTAGAACCTTTCATTCACATCCTTTTTCATGCTGTCTTGATTTAATACAGTGAGGTCTGGATCCAAAGATTACTCAAGTCACATTTCCATTGTCCTTAATGAGCCCTAAGCCATGCCTCAGTACATTTGTTTGTTTTCAAACCTTGGCAATCTCAATCTAATGGGAGGGGAATTAAAAAAGAAAAACAAGGAAAAAAGAAAAGAAAAAGGAGAGAAAATAAAGAGGTGTATGCTTAACCCAGCATTTGACAGTTTTTAAGCTTGATAGGATGAAGAAAAAGCACAGTAGTTTTTGTTGTTAAAGACCTCCAAAACCAAACAAAAATCTGGAATCCTACAGGGAATTCAGGTCTACTATTGAGCTCTTCTTATGCCTATAAAGCCCCCTCAGTCATTTAAATAAATATTACAATAAGAGAACTGAAATCCAGTAGTTTGGTACTATACTATATAACGAAACATATTGTCTACATCAAAGAAGAGTAACAGCCCAGTAACTTGCTGGATTAGCACATTCTCCTCCCTAATTTGCAATAAATACGACTGTCCTGTGACAACATGACTTTTCACAGAGTCTAAACCAGTCATTTGCCAAGGTCCTAAATTACTGAAACATTTCAACACTTGTTTAAACTTGAAGTATATGAGTAACCCCACTGCTGGGGACTGGCTAGGTGCTAAAACATCTCCTAAATAAAATCTTTCATGTTTAAATACAAACAATGTATTTAAATTCAGGATGATCAGTTTCATTTGAAGCTCACTGAAGCCAGCAGTCCTAAAACAGTGTTGTAAAAAGGATTCCACCATAATGCTCCTTACGCCTCAAGTTTCATATGCAGTTAACATTATTAGCATTTTTTCTTCCTTTTACATTCAAGTACACAAGTAATCATTTGATGATTCTGGGATGTACACACCAAAATGCTGTAATATATTGTTTGGGTACCTGTCATGTCGTACGATAGGTGTAGGCAGGACACAGGTCAGGAGCCATCCAAATTCAGCCAGCGTGTGCAATAAAGGTCCATAATCTGTTTTAATTTCACACCCCTACATTAATAATTATAAAAAGTAGTAAGGAGACTCCGTACAGGTTTTATTTGCATTTCTACACAAATTACAATGACTCTCCTAACTTACAATGAGGTAAACCTTTGAGATGACATTCGCTGTAGATTCACTATTTCAAACTGAAAATCATTTCAGAAGTTCAAGACTATGGAATACTAGGAAATTAGGCAGGACATACTAAGTTCAGGTACGAGCCCCAGTTCAACAAGACATTCAAAGCACATCCCACTTCTGAAAGCTTTTCATGTTGCTAAGTTAACGCCTAAAGCTTTTCGAACACCATAAAAAGATGTCTCAATGGATTTAGGTTTTTACTTCACATCTGAGTAATAAGCATCTCATATAGCTAGATACTTCATATATATGAAATATATACTAGCTGTATAGTCTTTGGTGGTTAGTGATTTGTTTGGGGTTTTTTTTGTAGTTTTTTTTGTTTGCCTTTTTTAATTTAAAAGGTCTTAGTTTTATGTTGTTTCTTGTCACATTGATAAATGTCTTTATCATTGAATATTTCAAAAAGAAGCCCTTAGTATCCTTCAACAACTATTACTTTCAGATCTCATTAATACCAATAATCTTATAATACTAAAATATTATAAAAACCATTATATTATTTTATTGCTGTACCATGCTACAGTAGTACATGTAAATTTATTAGGAAACATGAAGTATTTCGTATTTAGCAGTAAAATTTTACTAAGAATATACATCTGAAAAGCACATACAATTAATTCTCAATTTTTTTCTTGTGCTGTTTCTAGGTTTTACTATTTTCTTCCCCTTTTTATTTAAGAATACAGCAGCAAATTGGCAGTGGGACTGCTGAAGTTTTGTCTAAATTGGTCTCAAACACACATACAAAAAAAACCCAACAAACCAAACATTTTCCTTGGTGGTTGAGTTTGCTGGTTTGAATGCTTGCAAGTATCAGGCCACACTCCCTGCAGCATATTTTTTTTATGCACACTGATCAATGGCCACAGGCCTGACTTGATTTTTATGATTCAACACTTTGGTTTATGCAGGTGGCTTCAAGGAATCACCCTGAATGTTCAATCACTGGTACAAGCTTTCTAAGGGAAAAAAAACAAGGAAAAATGAGAGTAGGAAATAGCGATGCTAAATAATCACCAGTTTACCTCAATTACTGTCCATTGTTCAACAACTATAGCATCATTTCCTTTCCTGTTAGAACCTGGAACCCCAGCACCTTCTTCTTCGTAGATAAATAATCCTTCTAAAGATTTAGGCAAATAGTCCCCTGTGAACATAAAGGCAAATATAAACTGAAATATAAAGTTTTAGGTTGGTATCTTGTTGTGATACATACATGGACTTGTTTTTTCTTATTGAACAGTCCTCTAAAATAAAAATAAAATGAGACAGCAAATAATTCAAATTTGTTATTTCTGTGTTTGGTGACAGCTTGATAAAGTATCTGAATCCACTGTATTAATCAACCCCCTTTTTGCTACACAAATTGAACTACGAACCATTTTGTTTTCTCAAAAGCATTAGCCACTTTCATGCTCAGATCTGAACTCCAGTTTCCTGTATTCAGCATATCCCCTGCAGCATACGGGCATAAACCTTCTTTACTCAACTTTTGATATTGTACGCTGACAGTAAGAGCGGCTTTTAGTGTGGTGGGAGAGACCATAAAGATAAATGAAGCATGAAGTGCAAAGCCTAGCTACTGTTACTTAAATAAATACATAAATGGGCACAGGAAGAGGCTCAAAAAGAAGTAATTC